TTTGAATGATGCAGCAAGCTTTGAATGAACTTTTTTCTTCCGGAATTCCAACCACCAGTGCGTTTTTACAATTTGTTCAATATTTTTAAAGGGAATAGAACAAAGCAAAGACGATAACTTGACAAATAAGACGGTTTCTATAAACTAAGTTAACTAGCTCTTTTTTATCATGAAGGTTCAGAGATTTATTTTTGTAAACTAAGTCAGGTATTATTTTAAAATATATTTATTTTTATGTCTAGGTATAAATTATATTTATTTTTTTTTACAAAAGTTACCCGCAAATTAATTTTTTATTGTGTAATTTTTTTTTAAAGAAACCAGGCAGTTATACTCATTCAAATAAGTTAATGAACCAGATCGGTATGTTATTTTGAATAGTAAAGATAGAAGGATTGAAATAGCAACTTTTAGAATAAGTGAAAAGAAAAAAAAAAGTATTTCATTACCTCTTTCACGATAGTCTTCAATTTTAAAGAAAATATTATTTTCTTATATTGTTATTATCAATAAGAAGCCTGAAGCAATTTAACGAGTACTGAGTAAAACGCTTCCGTGAATTGTATTATTTGTTTGTAGTTATAAATAGAAAACCATTCAAACTTTTAACTTACATGATAAAGACGTATACATGAAATTACGTATGAGGAAAGAATAATCAAATGAAGAATTGAATTTTGGAGGAAGAGTAGCAATCCAAATATTTTGAAATTATTTATTTTTTGATGTTTAAAGAGCGCTTTCTTATGAAAGGGTTTTATTAACTAGAAAACTACAGCTAAAAAGTTATGGAGGAATCAATTTCAATACCTGGGTTGGTACAACCATACACTAACAATAATGAAATTTTGGCAAATGCACTTAAGAGTAAAGAAAATAGAATTGATGCGAATCTAGTCCCTTATCCTTATTCAATATACGACGATGATTCCTCAACTGATCATTACTTTTTGGTGCCTGGCTCAAAAGTAGATATTTGTCGTTTTAAACGAGAATTTATACATCTCAATGATTTAAAAAGAACACAACTTAAAGAATCAATATATGCAAACAACTCAACACATCATCATCGTGAAGAACCAATATGCGCTAACAAAACGACAAATCAACTATCCAAAGAAACAATATACACAAACACTAGTAACGTTAGGTATCCTTTAATAAATAAGCAACAATTAGCTCGTAAAAATTTATTGCAAAGTAGTGGAGAATATTGTTTATTAGCACAAGACGACAAAAAATACTTTTCACATAAATGCCAAAAATCTAGACTAAATAATAACAACAATAATAAAGAAGATAAAAAGTTATCGGGGAATTTTTATTGCTTGCACTCAGAGACCGAGCGATTATCAAAATCCAACTCATTTCATAGCCGTCATAAATCGTACGACACTATTCTTCAAAGGAACGATAAGAAATTACAAAAACAATTAAAAAAAGAATATCACAAAGATAATTTTATAGATTCTTGTACATGTATAGTGTGCGTGAAAGCGATAAATTATCATTTTGATCCCGATGATACAAACAAAACAATAGAAACTTGTTCATGTAGTGGTAATTTAAAAAGTATTTCCAGAAGGTGGTTTTGTTTGGGAGTTTTATCCGTGTTTTTCCCGTGTTTATTATGTTATATTCCTCTCAAACTTTGTCAAAAAGAACCTATTGACATTGCTCCGAAAACAAAGTTAAAAAATGCGCACGAAGTTCGCTATGTTAAAGGACCTTATTTCAATGCGACTTCTACATCCTTATGATTTTAACCCGACTTCTTTTCCCTATGGTCTGTTAAATAGATTAACTTAATTATTTTTGTTTGTTTTTATTTCGACTCGCAAATATTTAATTCCCAGATGTATTTCAGAATGGTGTGAAATATTTAGTTTTTATGTTTCTTTTTTTTTCTTTTATTTCAGTTTTTGTTTATGGTTTTGCTGCCAAAAAAAATTGCTTTTTAATAGTCAATGGAAGTCTCCGTCCCAGCAGGATTTAGAAAACAAACTAAAACTTAGTCGCCTTATCTGCGTTTAACGCTATTTTTTTCAATACTTGGTTCTGCTATTTACACAATCTTTGTTTGCTTTAAAACTTATTTTTAGCTGGAGTAATAAATTCACAATAAAATTAAAAAAGAAAAAAGGAAATTAGAAGAAAAAAACTTAGTAAATTAAAATGAAATCTCCATAAGTATGTACTTATATATTTTTTTAACACAAAGCTAATAAGGCTTTGCTAAGTTTGAAAGTAAACAGGATCAGTATATCCTTAAAACGAGTTGAGCAAATATTAAGACGGAAACTCAATAAAATTGATGTATTGAACAGAGGAAAGCTAAACTGTACAGTGCGATTTCCGTTGCACGGAAATTAAAAGTCTATTGGTTTTTAAATAAAAATTGTGACCTACGTTTTTAAAACGCAGAAACCGAGTTGTTATGGTAACTACAACACTGCTAAATTGCAGCTATGCAATTTTACATTTCAAAAAAAAAAAAATTCAAGTTTGTTTAACTGTTCTTACGTTTTACAAGTATTGTTTTACAAAATGTCTGTATACTCAGCTTGAAAAGGCTTGTTTAATATTATACTATTATCAGTTTTTTGCAAACAAAAACGCTGTTCATACTATGTGTAATGTGTCGATTTTTATATATACGTTGAACATATTATAATATAATAACTGAAGGGATTTTTTTTTTTAAATAGGTTGTAATCAAAATTTAAGGCATTAGCTTTTGAGTAAAAAGGTTTATGTCAGTAAAACTAAATTTCTGTGCTGAAAATACAAAACATACTAAAGTGCTCCTCCTTTTCTTCTGTTTGACATACCTCTTTGAATAAGGATGTCAAATAGTATTGTCGTGTATCCCGCTTTAATTGTTTCTATAGAAACAAATTACTTAAGAAATTTGAGGATTAAAGATTTTTTTAGTTTACAAAAACGACGCCTGCTAAATACGTTTCATTTAATTTATTTACCTGATAGCATAGTTCGATTATTTGCTGCGCTTAATTATTCTGAGATTATGGCTTCCAATTATTATATCAATGGACCCTTTATCAAATCCTAACGTGGCTTGAAATAACATATAAAAACGACTTTTACTTTGTACACAAATACTATTAATTTGTTACGACATTTTAAGTAATATGCAGTGTTATACGGATGTTGTATTATACGGCTTATATAGTTATATATAAAAAATTGTCTTTTTCTTCCTTCCTTTTATTTTTTTATGACGTCGATTTAAATCATGTTTTAAATGCTTTTAAAATTTAGACTAAATATATAAATGAAAATATGTTCATGTAATACAAATTATTACCTCCACTATACTTTTTTATATAATATAGGACGAGATTATTTATATGGACGAGATTATTTATCCAACTAAATTATTTTAGAAGCAAAAAGTTTATTTGTATCAAATAAACTTTTTATATTTTATAGTGGTATCCTAGACGAATGTCGTAGTGGTATCGTAGACGAATGGGATAGACTAAATGAAGAAACAAAAACCGTGACTTTAGACGCTATAAGCTTTTTGAAATTAATTTTTAAAATAAACACTTGCATTTTTTTTTTTTTTTGATAAAACATTTATTATTTATATCCTCTCGTTTTATATATATATATATATATATATATATATATATATATATATACATATATATATATATATATATATATATATATATATATATATATATATATATATATATATATATATATATATATATATATATATATATATATATATATATATATATATATATATATATATATATATTTTTACATACATACACACACAAACATACACACATATATATATTCTTTTATTCGTTTTTTTTTTAATTGTATATAATATATGATAGTTTTAATTTCTGAGCTCTAAAATTGTAATATTACTTTTATATATTCATATATTCATATTATATATTTTATATTTTATATCCTCTACTTTGATAAAAATGTGAGCAAAAACAAATGTTGCATCATCATTCTTTTATAGGTAATTAATAGTGAAATTTATGCATTACAATTATTATATATGTTTATTTTTTATAATTAATTATTATTATTATCATCTATGTAAACCTAAATGAAAGTCAAACCTAAGATAATATTAAAATAACATTTATCGAACAATAAACGCGTCAGACAGAATATTAAAGATTCAACCTATAACGGAATCAGTCATAGGTCAAAAGTCAAACAATTGTTAAGGTAATAAATTACTGGTCTTGGCGACAAGAAAAAATCAGTTTAACTTTTGTGTTAACAAAAAAAGTCGCCAAGTGTCAAGATAAATAAGAATGAGAACTGAGAATTGACAATTACGTGAAACAGGTTATGGCGCCAGCATTTCCTATCCTTCTCAGATATTTGCAAAGTTCTAAAAGCTATACAAGGAACACCAGATGTCTTTAATTAGAAACTTAAACTTATCTTTAGACTTTTTATTTATTTTTTATCTTTATTGGAATGGAGGTTTGAGAGAATTCAAATGTATCGACTTTATTTTCAAAGTACTTTGAACAAATTATGTAATTAATAAATGATAATTATAAAACAAATTTAAAAAATAATATTATTTTCAAATATTACTTTTATTGGAATGAGTTTAATAAATATCATTTAACTTTTTTATTGGCAAAAATTAACTATATATAAAAAAAATTAATTTAAATAAATTAGTAATAAAAGACTTATTTTATATTTCCTAAGTTATTATACAATAAAAAAGACAATCTTTATATGAAAGTTATAAGATAGATTAGTCGAAGCCGAAAAAACAAATTTTTAGCACCTGTGTGAAAAATCCTTTATAGACTCAAAAAAACAATTAAGTAAACTTAATATAAAAATAGAATTTATTTATAGAAAATTGCTTGAGCAATTGCAATTTTATTTGTATTATGATATAACTCAATACAAAAATTTTTTTTTTCGTGATCCATTAACACAAAAAACAATCCGTAAATTCGGTAAACATTGTTAATTATATTTACCATCATTTCTTTTAATTTAAAAAACTTTTTTTTATATCTATTGTAGTAAAATCTTTTAAAGACTAATATACGGAACCTATATCATTTGAAGTAAGTACATTACAAGTTGTTCAGTAGCCATTTTTTAACTTATAAAGTTAAAAGTCGGCAAGCTTTGTTAATAAAGGTTAATTTTTTTAACTTTCGTTATGTTTCTTTTTTGAAAAAGGCACCCTATGCAAACATCAAATTAAAAAAAAAAAAAAAAAAAGAATTAATCACATATTACACATTGATTGCACAATTAAAAAAAGATAATAGATAAATATATGGAAACCATACTGTTTTATATGAATAGCAGATTGCTTCCCGCTGCGCGCAACCTATTAACTTAACCTGCTAAGATGTTCATCAAAGCGAGCATTTTGTGCTAAGAATATATAACGTCAAACGCAAGAGGTGCTAACTTGAGCTCAATTTTTCTAACTGTAAATTATAAAGTTTAATCTCGGTCTCCGAAAACCGCATCTTATAACTTTTTATTAACTTGTATTGATTTTTTTCTTATCTCAAATTACATATCTTACATTCGGAAGCGAAAGCTATAATTTTAACTATGGTTACCAACATATTTAATTCTAACTAACGTCACCAAAAAGTCTCAAATTTAATAAGGGTCATCATATTACTTAATATTAAGCTAAAAACCCCGATGATTTTTAGAAAAACTAATTTTTGTTATTTCTTCTTTTTTTTTGCATCAGGGTTGGTCAAGTTTTACTGCTTATTATATCCGAGACTCAAAAACCTATAAAAATTAGTCTGATTTAAAATAAATGTTTTTAAAATTATACAAGTTCATAAGGGTAGAGCGAGGCATATCGGGACAGTGTGGCACAACGGGACAGTTATGCCTGAAGCCTTATATCTTAGAAAGAAGTTTTTTTTTGATAAAACATTTTGCTTTATTATTGTAAAAAAAAGTTAATTTTAGAAATACAGAAATGCATTAAGTTTAACGTATTTAGTATTTTAATTTAATGCATAATAAATTTAATGCATGGTACTTTAAAGTACCAAAATGCATAAGTAAGTTTGCAAAAAACAAAGTTTGCGTATTTTCTTAAGCAATACAACGACAAAAGATTTGTCTTAAAGTATTGCTAATTTGCTTTATTTAAAAAAAGTTTGTATTTTTCAGACTATTTTTTATGCTCTCTTAGAATCTGGTTTTGAAAAAATATCTAGGAATAAACTTTTTGATTAGTATTAATTTCAATAAAATGACTTTTATAGGGCATATCGGGACAACAAGTTATTTATTTAATTGACTATGTTATTACCATTTCGTGAAGCTGTTCACAGTTTGATGATTTTATTTTTAATCTAAAATATCATTTTCCTAGAAAAGCGATATTCCTATTTATATAACTTAACTTCGATTATTACCAGTGTTTAATGTAAAAAAATATAGTTAAAAATTATATAAGAAAGATCAATTATTCAAAATGGGATGAAATGTATTTTTATCTGTGAGTAAAAAGGAACTTAGAAATAGAATACCTACTGATACATATAACATATTTAAATTTGCTCTATGTTGGCATATTGCTAATAAGCCAGCTCATTAAAAATGTTGTCAAATAATTTTAGGATATTTTTTGTATGATTTATGTGATCCATGATATTTTTTGTTTAATTTTAAATCTAGTAGTAGTTGCCAATTTAATAATATATAGGTTAGGGTAGAGCGAAGGTGTTTTATAATAAAACATATTTTTTTTTTAGTTATTTCTTTTTGTGGTGTATCGGTGTATGGGCGTATAGTCTTTATGGGTATGTTTCTTTTTTGAGAGTTTAATGTCTGAACATTTTTTAACAAAAGCCTTCATTTTTTATTATTTTTTAAGCTTTCAAATTAACAAAAAACTGCTGCTTTTTAACTGTCCCGTTTGCCCCATCCACTTGCAAAATGTAAAAATTTTGCTTTAGAGCTACTGCAATTTATTCTTTAAAAACAAAAACAAAAACAAAATAAAATTCACTTTTTTAACTTGTTCCATTGCCAGCCCTGTTTATTTGGCCTTCCCAATCTGGAAAGGCCAAATAATTATGTGCATCAGGAGCATCATTATTATCTTCTAGTACTAGCTATATTGATAATCATAATTCCTTTGAGGTGTAGCAAGTTTCTTGATTTGCATTTAAAGATTTTTTCCAAGTTTGTTTTTTAACACAAAAATGCACATCTTTCTCATTCATTTTAGCTATTAATCAGTTCAGATGGCTTCTCAAAAAAATAATTTCGTTTAACAAATTTGAAAGTTTATTGTAAGAAAATTGCATGCACGTTACAAGCAAGTTGATTTCATTTTTATTGAATATTTTTATCTCTTAACCTGTATAAAGTAAAAGATATTTACAGTTATAACAAAAAAGAATTAATTAAAACAAAATAATTAGAAAAAGTTGTATATAAAACATACTACTATTACCATAGAAACAACGTTGCTAAAAATACGCTCTTGATCTTTAAAAAATTTTCTTAGAAATCTTCGTTCGTGATCAGCATCATAGCATCGGTATCAACATTTTCTAATTGTTTTTTTATAAATATAACTGAAGGAACTAATTTATTAACTGAATTTTATTTTTCATTTTTTTGAAGATAAGACGCTAATATAAAAACAACGTAATACAAATTTTATATTTATACTCGTGCATTATAAACATAAAATTAAAAAAAAAAAAAATCTGATAATTGTTGCTCAACCGTTTTGTATATACTAAAGAAAGAAACATGTTGTTTACTTCACAATAGTTTTGTTACTTATTTATATACAACTATTTGATATTATTGTTTATTTGAGTTAAAAAAAATAAAAATAAATTCACAATTAAACGAAAAATTAGAAATTTCTTTTTGCTGTTTAAATTTATCTTATTTTAATCAGCATTGTTAAATTTACATTTAGTACCAAGTGCAAACAGTACCTTATTAACCATGGCAAGGTCTGTAGGCATTAATATTTTAGGAGTAGTTACATTATTACTGTATTAAAAAAAATTAAAAAAAAAATTAACAAAAGGATGGAAAAAAAATTTAAAATGTTTGATTATTCTACTGAAGTCCAGTTCTTATCCTTTTTTTTTCAAAGCGACATCAAACCGAAAGAATTAAGCCTGCCTAGTTTCAACGTTGGCCTTATTTCGCTCTTTATTCGTTCAACTTTTGAAAAAGAAGTTTCCTTTTCGGACACACTGCATGGAATTGAAAAATATATTGGCAAGACTATTCATACATTTAAAAAAAGTCAGCTTTTATTTTAATCTCAAGTTCATTTTCCAGATCCAAGTAATGTTTGTAAACAAGTTGAACTGATTTTTCCTCTCAATTTTAATCTCAGGGCAAAATAGGAAGTTGGTTGCCGTTTTACAATTATCAAAAAAATTCTTGCATGCTCTTCATAACACATTTCCCAGCCCTTCTGTAAACTGTTGCCATACATCTTCTTTTGGTGCAGTTGATATTAGATATTACGTCATTCTTTATTTTAGTTGCTGCAGTTTTATAGTAATCAAATTCATCCCGTTAAACTTTTTTGTTAAAAATATTATAGTCTCACAAACAGGTTTTAGGTTCAGATTTCCAGTTTGGTACAGTTTGAATACTTTGTTAATCTGTTCCAGCTAATCACAATACATAATGTTTTTCAGATTATTCGATTTCTCAACCACATTTTTAGCTTCACGACAAGTGTCTTGCATTTAGTTTGTATTTTTGTTACAATGTTTGTTTTAACAGCGTCATGACAAACAGACCATTGGGTATTGCAAGTGTTTTTATAGCATATTGGATTTTGTTTAATTCCAAAAAAATAGCTCAATTGATGAGTGGACTTCGAAAGAAATCTGTAATGCTTTTGAACGATAAAGAACTACATTGCATCCAAGCAGCAGTTGACTGCTGTATTGCCAGCAAGGTTTAAAGACCATGCACTCCGAAGCACATAATCGCCATGACTTTCTTTCTTTGGTACTTTCTTAACTACCTTTTTGTAGACATATTTTAATGTCTACCTTAATCAATAATTTAATTAAGGTAGACATATTTTAAATGTTGTCATTGAAAACAGCAATTTTCTTCAATGTTTACATTTCTAAGAATAAAGGTCAGCTGATCAACAAGGGTAAAACCAGGAGTTAAATTCACAATTATATCAAAGTATTTAGCAGCTTTTATCTCCTTTTAATTTTTTTTGTTGAACCATGTTGCTAATAATTTAGATAATTTCGTCGCCGACAGATATGACGTAGTACCTCAGCCTAGTTTCCTATATTGCTCAATATACTTTGCCAAAAAACCGTCACACTTATATAGGAGTTCCTATATATTTTAGTATAAATTCTATTAAATACGAAGCTCGTTATCTCATTTTTGCCTCAAAGTGGTATACCCTTTTCATTAAGAAACAATCTTCTTTACTCGGTCAAGTAAGTTCGCTAGCAGTGGCATTTATTGACGAATCAAAAAATCAAAATGTTCTGACTACTTTATTTAGTTATCTATAAATAGCTTTTTTTTTCTTTTGCTCACAAGGCAATTGAAATTGATTCTTTGCACTCACATTTTTCCAGTTTTTGAAGCCGGTGTTGAATTGTGAAAAATCTAATTAGAATAATTTAAAAAAATTAATTTTTAAAATTTAAGTAGGGCAAAACTAGCATATATTTTCAAATTGGTAATTACTGCTAAATTTAAGATTAAAAAATATTATGGATCGCATAATTCACACAAAAAAATATCCTGAAACTATTTGGTAATATTTTATACAAGCTGGCTTGTTAGCAATATATCAATGTAGAACAAATTTAAATATGCCATATGTATCAGCAGCTTTTCAAATTCTAAGTTCCTTTTTATTCACAGCTAAAAACAGATGATTGATTTTTCTTATATATTTTTTTACTATCGTTGTTTACATTTAACACTACTAATAATCGAAGTTAAATTTTAAATTAACAATTTCTTTGAGTTTAGGTAAAAGGCTTCAGGCATAACTGTCCCGTTATGCCCCACTGTAACAATATGCCCCACTCAACCCTATGGC